ATGGTGGTGGTTTTGATGATGGTGGTGGTTTTGATGATGGTGGTGGTTTTGATGATGGTGGTGGTTTTGATAATGGTGGTGGTGGTTTTGATGATGGTGGTGGTTTTGATGATGGTGGTGGTTTTGATGATGGTGGTGGGTTTGATGGTGGTGGTGGTGGAAGATGATGGTGAAGATGCTGCTGATGATAATAGTGGTGGGTGATGATGGTTTTGATAGTGGTGATGATGATGGTTAAGATGACGAGGGTGGTGGTCGGTGATGATGGTGATGACAATGGTGATGATTACAACAAACATTCTCAATAAGTTTCAGCATAACATCACATTACTTAATTAGGGAAAGGCAACTTACTGTTGTTAAGGAATAAACAGCTTGGGCAAATTTCTGATAAAGTAATGAGGAGTATGAAGATGCAGCTAGAAACACGACCAAACGATACACAGTCCAAAATGAAAAATCTAATAAAACAATACGATTGTTTTAAAACAATAATCACCATAATTATTGAACAACTATTTTTTATGACAGCCAGAAAAAATTCAACTTACAATATTCATCAGGCGTGAAAGAGTTGTCACTAGTAAGAAAGCACACTGGATACGTTTTTACACTTTTTAGCAGCAGATCCAAAGTGGCCACAACCTTCTGTTCTCTGGATGTCTGCCTTTTAATTTCTTTACAAAATAGGAAACAAACACTATTCAACCCATTGAGTTGCAACACCTTGATGCACCCTACTTTATTATTTCACTTTGTCCAATGCCAGGCAATTGTACTTGTCAAGGGTGCTGCCAATTTATGGGTTAAAACATGCATGTACCGGTATGCTTTTACATATAACGTTATTTTACATTTGGGTAAGCTTCCTAGTTTGTCATTTCACTTTCTGTAATGATAGATATTTTACTAGTCATTAGGGAAGAGTTTTTAGTAATAGATTTAACCAGATTATCTGAATGAATCAGATTGTTGGCCCAGAAAATTATTTGTCTTGATGAGTGTATATGTTTCAACCCCACCCACCAAAATATCTCTCACCTTCACCCGAGGCAGGAAAATCAGCAAAGAAACTTTGAAATATGGATTTAATATCCAACTCTCCTTCTGGTTTACCTTTGCTATAAAATGACAAATGTATTTGCAGCCCTTCATGTATTGGGTATGACCAATACTGTTTTGCTCTACTGAGGCTCTGGCTATTAATTGATGAGTGAAGCGAGTATGCAAAGAATGGAAGGTCGAGGCTTCAAGGGCGCTGTGAGTTGAGTGGTGGTCAAAGGCTTGCAAGCTTTGTCTATTTGGTATATTGTCCGAGTGCAAGACTCAGGGCGAAAAATTTCAGCTTGTCATGACTGCAGCAATGAAACCAATTACTATGTGTACATATGTCACATACAATACAAAATGAATTCCTGTTTTAAATTTTTTCACAAAAATTCTTACCACAGTAACTGACTTGGTTGACTCGCAACTCTTGGGACCTTTGAAAAAACAGGGTGGGGGAGGGAAGCAGGGCACAGAATACATAGAATTACCCCCTGCAAACATTCATCACATGGGGATGGCGGGAAAACCCTTTTTGCACGTTGACTTTATGGCATATTAAAAGCATCATTTCCAAACATTCCGTTAGGGTTGAATGCATTGAATCAGAAACCAAAGTTTTAAATGATATCAAAACATTCACAATTCAACTCATGTAAATTTTTATAATATTGATAAAAGGTACAATACTAGCGAACAATATTGAAACACAACTGTATTTATCAAAAATGGCATACGTTTTTGCATCCAAACGTTCTTTCAAATCTGAAAGTTTTCCACGTGACAAAGCATCCATATTCTTCTGCAGTGTGGTTTCCGTGTTGTCTTTACATTGTCTATACTATACACAAAGTACTTCAGCTCATTTCTTGTTTATATTGTTTGTTTTTTTACCATTGTTTACTAATATTGTTTGTCCATGTTTCAGTTCATTTTGGAAACTTTTTGCGCCATGTGCAACTTTGCTTCCACTTTGTGTTGAATAATTTTCATTAAATTTCAACTTCCGCGCGAACATAATTGCAACACTGGTCTCTGAATAGCTGGATTGGGCAAATGTCGTAATGGAATATTTATTAAAAAATCATCAACTTTAGGGTAACCGGTTAGAGGTAAGAGTTGGGATTACGGTTTCTGTAATTGTAGACCCATTACAACCCATAGAGGATAGTACATGGGTGCGCGGAAATACCAGATTTATTTCGAGTGTTCTTGAACATATTGTTCAACACGAGAAATAAATCTGGTATTTCCAAGCACCTATGGACAGTCTTTAAAAAGCGATAATTTTTACAGAAAGGCTATAATTGAAAGCGATAATTTTCACATGTGGGATTATCATGAATAATCTCACATGTGAGATTATCACTTTTATCAGTGCTCGAAATCTCTATAAAGCACTATATTTTATATAATAAAATACGTTATTGCATTACAGCGTGCGGGAACGGCTGGCAGAGTACATGATTTGTGCCAAAAGTAGAATATTTACATAAATTACCATGTAAATTACTCACTCGTGAAGGAGAGAGGACTGGAGCTCAATGGAGTTAATATAATATTTAATTAGGATTTAATGTGTTAATTATAAGAAATTATAATTTAATGCAAGTGATTATAAGTTAATTATAAATTAATTATAAATTAATTATTAACAAATGGAATGGCAGTTAATAAGTGGAATTGGTCGATGAAATCTTGTCAACAATCTTGTCAACCTAACTAGTACAGATATGATTTTTGGTCTCCCACTAGTACAGATATGATTTTTGGTATCATTCTGAGAAACGTAATATATCTTTATAGTAAAAACCACATCTCCACCACTGTCAAAGCTGCCAGAGTGATGTTATTAGATGAATTTTTGGACCAAAACACAAGCAAAACAAATTTGTATTTTAAAATCCAATGAAATCATTTCCGGTAACTTCAACAGTGTAAAGTTAAGAAGAGTTTTTATTATAATATTGCATTTCTAAACAGACTCAAGTATGCCACATATCAAAAGTCATATTTGAAGTCAGTGGTAGTTGTAATCCCACCACAGAACTATGCAACTGCAATACTACAGCAATTGAGCACCTCCATACACGAGATCTCGCCGCACGCGTGTGTAAATATTCCAGCAATATAATGCAATGGCTGCTGACATCCGACCTTGGCATATGGTACATCAAAACTGGTTTCAATACTTTCTGCATAACAGTGACCCCAGTGACTAGGTGCACTCCTTGGTTTACAGCACACACCTTTCTCTAGATGGTAAATAGTGGTTCCATCAGAACGCTCAAAGCCATCGACAAAAAATCCATCAGGGCAATAGTTCCACGCGTGTCTAAAAAGTATCCACAATAAAATTAGTCTTATATAGAGGCATCTGCGTATTTAGAAAGATACGACAACACACGTAAAAACACGAGCAGTGGCGGACGCGACAGCCGAGTGTTTCAGTTGTATCTATGTCAAGCACGGATACAAGTTGTTCCAAGTCGTCCTGCAATTCAACAATTTATCAACAAGTTGTCAACAAGATGTGTTCGCAACAGACTTGTAGCAAGCTTGTCACCAAGATGTGTTCGCAACAGGCTTGTAGCAAGCTTATCAACAAGATATGTTTGCAACAGGCTTGTAGCAAGCTTGTCAACAAGATGTGTTTGCAACAGGCTTGTAGCAAGCTTGTCAACAAGATGTGTTCGCAACAGACTTGTAGCAAGCTTGTCAACAAGATGTGTTCGCAACAGGCTTGTAGCAAGCTTATCAACAAGATATGTTTGCAACAGACTTGTAGCAAGCTTATCAACAAGATGTGTTTGCAACAGGCTTGTAGCAAGCTTGTCAACAAGATGTGTTTGCAACAGACTTGTAGCAAGCTTGTCAACAAGATGTGTTCGCAACAGGCTTGTAGCAAGCTTATCAACAAGATATGTTTGCAACAGGCTTGTAGCAAGCTTGTCAACAAGATGTGTTTGCAACAGGCTTGTAGCAAGCTTGTCAACAAGATATGT